TCTTAACTCCAATTTTAGTGGACCAAATATATTATAAAAAGCGCATTGAATTTATTCATGCAAGCGGTAACCAAATATAAAATGAAACGAACCGAATGAAATTAATATCAATTTAGTCAAATACCAATTTCATATTTTGAGATACTGTTCAGGTATCAATCTGGATTTAGTAATCTATATTCGTGTACTCGGTATATATGGAATAGTCATGTAATTTTCTATATTTTTAAATGGGTTGCTCCATCTTTTAAAGGATAGAGGTATTAGAACGCCCTTTACAATTATTGTAGCCTTCTGCCAATAAACAAAATTGCCAATATATGCCACTATAGCCACAAAATGGGAAGTTATGATTTCCATGTGTTTAAAATGTTTGCACGGCGTCAGTTAAAATCGTTTAGTGACTACATTCTGTGAAAATAAATTTGATTAAAAGCATGGTGGGATTGTTTAGGCATAAGATAGTGGAAATCACTACTTTTGTTTAAATTTTGTGGAGCGGGTAATATGAAATATTCAATATTTTTCGCCTTATTGCTATCCCATATTACCCACCAGGTAAAATGTTATTGAAATTTTTACAGTACAGAAATTGTGGCTACTCTTTTTTCGAAAAAAACGAAAATAATGGGGTGCAAATGAATAAGTAATTAAGTATTACATAAAATATTAAAGAATTTTGCGTATATTAGCCTACCTATTCCAAATTTTTCTATATGAACATTCCATATTACCCTCCATATTTTTTCCGAAAAATTTTAATTTTATTTGTTTTTTTTTTTTCATAACTGGTGATATAATGAGTTTTTGAAACCAGTTTCCTAATGTTCAACATTATGCAACTGGTTGCGTAAAGTTTTTGACAATTGCTTCAATTACAAAAATGTCCCATTACATGTCAAAATTAGAAAAATAATTTTATTTTGACAAAATGTATTTGGACCTACCGTTACGGTCTTCTTTTTGAGCTAAAATCAAGTTGTGTAAAATTCACTGAGAACAAATGTTTGTGTTAAATAGTATTAATTGCTTTCACACTAATCTTTAAAGTTTCTTGAATATATCCGACAGTAATAAGCCGCCCCCTTTAATCATGTTTCGAGTAAGATCAATATATTTTTTGTAACTGCCGTTTTTGGTTTATAAGCTCAAAAACAGCGAAGGAACATGATTTCTCGCCATCAAGCACTTGATTTATTTCCTCCAAATATTCTTTAAGGTTTAAGCCATGCTTGAAATTATGAAAAACCACAGCCCGATAATGCTCCTTGTTTATTTCCATCACTTATCGGCAAAAGGATTACTTTAAACTTAAGTAACTTACAATTAGGTATATTTGACAACTGTCACTAACTACATTTGTAAACGACTAGATTGAAATATCAGACAAATATTCAGACAAAACTTGTTCTAAAAATATCATCACCTACTAGATAGTGTCAGCGGAAAGGGAACGGCCCTCGTTTCTAATCCCACGTTGTAATATTTTTCTATTGTTCCTTTTTTTATAATCTTTTTGTACCTGTGAATAAATATAACGTTCATAAGCTTGTTTATTCATAAATTATACTTTAATAAGCCTATATATCCAGATCATATACCAAGATATAATCTACATTGAAGGTAAATAACATACCTAATATGTTTATTGATGACAAATAGGTAAAACATAAAATAGCGTAATAATCATCGTCAATTTCAATTAAAAAGTTGATTAACAATAACATCATTATCCACTCTAATACGCTTCATGTCAACCGCGTACTTTATCATCTCTAATGTGTTTAGAGAGAAAACAGTTCATATTTATGAAATATACAGGTAAGCACCCTCATGAATGTATTATTTAATAACTGAGGTCGTGAGGAATCATTGGTACATGCTTTCTGAGTATTAACGACACCACTACACATCTCTAAAGTCCACTTTCTAAAAGCTGCGATACTTTTCAGAGGTTTTCAGTCAAAAAGTCCTCATAAGATCTATTTCATTCAGTGAGTTTATTTCTTGGAAATTTTTCCGCAGTAGTCTCTTCTCAGAAATGTATGTACAATGTTGAATGTTGCGGAGCTCGCCTAAGAGAATAAAAGGTAATGGTTAATACCTAAGATAATGTGGCAACTATTCTCTAATACAGTGGTTCTCAAACTTTTTTGGCGACGGAACCTTTTTGAAAAGCGAAATATTTGACGGAGCCCTAAACACATTTAATAAACATTTCTAAAAAAAAAGCAAAATAATATCTTCCTTTCTCCTAGTGACGTCTAAAAAAATTATGATTATGACTGTTATTTTCTTCGCGGAGCCCCTACAAAGGTTTTGCGAAGCCACAGGGCTTCACGGACCACACTGTGAGTAACGCTGCTCTAATAGATCGGAAAGTGGTTCTTTACACTTTCCGAATGTGCCACATATAATGTGCCACATATAATGTGCATTCGCAATTACTTTAACAATGAAGTTATCCCAGACCGACTTGAATCTTCGTCGTTGGTCTGGAGGAGTCTTAATTCGTATAACCGATGGATTAGTAGTATATGATTTGGTTTGAATTTGTTAAAATAAAGAATCTGTTATAAGGTTATTACAAGTTTAAAATGTATTTTTTTACTACTACCATGAGAAATTAATATTATTCACTCCATTCTTTTAATAAGAAATACCTAATATTTCCCACCCTCGGTAAATAATGATAATAAAAAAACCCTTAGATAAATAAACATTATCTATATTTTTAATGAAATAAACAGAAACTCTTATTATTAACTTAATTCTAAGCAAAAATCAAATCAAGGCGGAAATTTAACACTGGTGAGTGGTATGATAACAATTATTAAAATTGAATTCCATTAGTTTCATTTTGATAATTTGACACAAACTCGCAGACTACTTGATATTTCGAAATTTAAAAATTAAGTAGGAAATAACTAAAGCTGGGTTTATCAAAATCTAATCAAATCAAATATGGTAATATATCAGTGTAAGAAGTAAAAAATAGTTATTTAGGCAACAAGTGGGTAAAGTTACCCTTTTTTGACGAATGTGAATGTTGTCGCACGAGCCGTAGGCTCGTGCGACAATCACATGAGTCAAAAAAGGAACTTTACACACGAGTGGCGGCATACAATATTTTTTCTACTACCGTACACATAATCCACTAATATTAGAAATATAAAAGTTAAGTGAAAAAAAGTACTTTACTTTACGCACTAGTGAAAAAAAGTAAAATGTGCCAAAAATTGTACATAGCAACAAAAATAAATGTATTGGAACTTTACAAATTTATAATTCTTACAGAACAAAATGACTAACAAATGAAGAAATATTTAAAAAATAGGTTTTTAACTCTTATGAATATTAATATTGAATGTGCAATTATTGCAATTACCAAAACTTAAGGTTTTGGCTTTTTCCAGCACAGAGTTTGAAAAATGTTGTGATATTACTTCTGTAACCCTATTTTGAGCTTCGAGTGGTATGGATTTGGCCTTTTCAAGTAAAGAGGTTGAAATATTTTGTGTAACTCTAGTTTCACTGTCGAGTGGTTCCACTAATTCTTCCATAGAGTTGTCAACGGTAAAATAGTAGCTTTGTTTGGAAGTGGATGGCATACTGTCATCCATCAAAATTTTATTAGAAATTTTGTTTTTTTGTGTTATTGTGCTGTCTACGTAGCCTTCTGCAACAGCAGATGATTTCCATCCTCCATGTTTTTTGACCGTTAGAAGGTCTCCTCCAGAATTTGCCAGCATAGTAGCTGAAGACCTCCTAAAGCAGTGTCCTGTAAAAGCCGTTGGATTGGGCAAGTTTAGATACGTTGCAATAACACTTGGCATTTTACCAAAAGTATTTATCCCTACAGGCTGTTTAGAATATTTTCCATTTGCGAATTTTAAAAAAAATCTGTTACAATTTATATTTGATGGTCTTAATGAGGTATATTTTTTTATGAAAGATAAATAATCAACTGCAGAATTATTTGGATTTAAAATCGTAAAAATGCGTTTTATTCCATTTTTGGTTTCTGATACTTTGACAATATACACTGTTTGCTTATCTTCCACATCGTTAATTGTCATTTTACATAATTCTTCCCGGCGACAAGCTCCCGCAATTCCAATTATAAAAGCTACCTAAAAAATAACATATTGTAATGTTACAAATAATTTATTAAACATTAGGAAATATCTTGACGTTGCGCATGTAAAACTCCAAATAAATGCTATTGTAAAAAATATAAAAGTTTTAGATATAATGTGCTGCCTAACAACCCCGGTGGCCTGTTAGGACAGCAACTGATTTTGTTAGGCAACACACCATACGAACACACATCTCGTTGCAAAACTTTACAGAATATTTTAATTTTATACTGAGCATTCCAGCATTTACTGAATCATTTACTTACTTTGATCATTAAAAACTTGGAATCTGGAGCTTTCAACAGAAAAGTAATTAGATCTTCTCGTTCAAAAATTTTGGATTTTTTTGGTTTATAACCTTTATTTTTTTGTTTGCGAAACGCTATTAACTTGTTGAATTTCAAAATATCAACGTTGTTTTTATATTTTAAGGTGCTTTTAAGCATAGAATAAATCGATCATGGGATAGAAGCTTTGCAATTCTTCAATTCATCAGAGAAATATGCTAAAATAACGTTTTCCGAATATTTTTCCTACACCATTCTATAAATGCATTGTATTTTTGCTGATAAATATATGCAGATTTTTCTGGCAATACATTTTCAGTGGCCTTTTGTGCACTGCATAAGATATCTGGGGAAGTATTATCAAATTCGCTATCGCTAGATAAATTTGAATCCATATCGATTATGACAGATATAATAAACTGCAAATAAAATTTGAATTTAAGTAAACAAACATTAAAAAGTAAAACTTTTTACCTTCTCAAACTTGATTTAGTTTAAAAAATGCTAAATTGGCTTTAGAATCTAATCTTGAACTTAAGTATACTTTTGTCGTGTTCTGTTATAAGGTAGGTACCAGTGGCGGCTCTTCCTTAGGTTTGCAGGTTTGCGCAACCCCCAAAAAATTTTGGTAAAATAACAAAAGAACTACAATTATATTTCTTTAAATTCATACCAAAATTCTGTACCTACATTTATATGCGAGGAGCAGTCAATGACTGAAATAATTTCAATTTCACCACCTTTTCCTAAATGTCTTTAATTTTCTCGCCACGCGACGGCTTTGTCGTTGCGATGTAGTTTGCAGATCGAATGCAAACCAATCCGACTATATTAATAGGCGCGTGTTTGTGTTACTACGCGTTGATTTCAAATTTCGTCCCGTAAGCTCAGTTAGGTTGCAGGCAGAGTGCAAACTTCTTGTTAATTTCGCCCGCTAATTAGTGATTTTAGTTTATAGTGTGGTGCGTAATCGCTTTTTTCGTTTGTTTTGTGTGTAAAAATGAATTCGGTTGAAAGTTTAATTTCAAACCCATTCTGTGGTCGATCATTAATTGATAAGGCTGAAATAAAAAGACTTGGTAGGACTACTCCGAATTTAAAAATAGAACAATCTGTGTCTAGCAAAAAAAGGACTTTTACCAGAACATTTAACCCGGAGCTTTATAATAAACATACATGGCTTTGTGGGTGTGAAATTAAAAATGCTCTTTATTGTTTCCCTTGTTTGCTATTCGGAGGAGAAGATTCCTGGACAAAAATAGGGTTTACCGACTTGAATCATTCTGGGGACCGCATCAAAAAGCATACATCATCAGCAAAGCACATTAAAAATGTTTTACAATATTCACTTTTTGGAACTGTAAACGTGGCTGCTCAATTGAGTACCGCTTATCGACGAAATATTGAATTGCACAATGAACAAGTGAGACATAATCGATACATTTTAAACATAATAATTAATTGTGTGCGTTTCTGTGGAGCTTTCGAGCTCGCATTAAGAGGACATGATGAGTCTACGTCTTCCTCTAATCCCGGGGTTTTTCGAGGATTAATTGATTTTAGTTCTGAGTTAGACGGTGCTCTAAAACAGCATCTAAAAAAAGCATCGGTATTTAAAGGTACGTCAAAAACCATTCAAAATGAAATTTTACAAACAATGTTTACTGTATGCCAAGAGGAAATTTCTAAGGAAATAGAAAATGCCGATTATTTATCTATAATTGCTGATGAAACTAGTGACGTATCAAATAAATTCCAAATGGCAATTGTATTTAGATACATTTTAAAAGGCAAGCCTGTTGAACGATTTTGGGATTTTTTAATGCCTTCAGATCATGATGCCAAAGCTTTATCTAAGGTTATTCTCACCGAACTTGAAAAGCATGTGAAAGGCAAGAGAAGCAAACTTATTGCACAAACATATGATGGTGCATCAGTTATGAGCGGGTCTTCTAACGGGGTACAAGCGATTATTAAAAAAACGTATGAACACGCTGCATACGTGCATTGTTATGCACATCAATTAAATTTGGTAATGTTAAACTCGGCTTCAGCAAACAAAAATGTCCGAATTTTTTTTGCAAATTTACAAGGAATTTGTACTTTTTTTTCAAGTAGTCCTCAGAGATCTGCAATTCTAGATCAAATCGTTAAAAAACGCTTACCACGTTCAGCCCCGACCAGATGGAATTTTAATTCCAGAGTGGTTTGTACCGTATTTGAGTACAAAGACGGCATTCTGGAGACAATGGAAACTCTTCTAAATGAAAGTAGAAACGTAAGTACTACCAACCAAGCATCAGGATATGTCAAAATCATTAAAAGCAAAAGTTTTGTGTCCTGGTTAAACTTATTTTACAAGATAATGCCACATGTTGACTTGTTATTTGGTAAGTTTCAAACAAGACAAATTGACGCTGTTATCGCAAAAAAATTTATATTATCATTTGAAACTAAATTAACAGAAATTATAAATAGCATCACTTTAGATGACATTGAGCCGACTTCATCTAATTCAAAGCGGCATAAGCTGGATGACTCTGCGGAATTTTCACGAGAAGCAAAAGAAGTTTGTGATATTATTATTTGTCAAGCAAAAGAACGATTCAGCTTCACAGGCCACCTAGTCGCAGCCAGTCTCTTCTTTCCAGAAGAATATGGCCAATATAGTACCTGTTTTCCCGAAGAAAAATTTAAAGAGACAATAAAAAATTACCCATTTTTCATCGAGCAAAAACTCCGTACAGAATTAACCGTCATTTATGATACAGAAGAACTTAAATCAGTTTCGGGACTCCTTGTGCTTTATGACTTTATCTCTCAAAATATCGAGTTAAGTGAAACTTTTAGTGAAACTCTAAAACTTATAAAAATTTTAATTACCATTCCTATGGCTTCTGCTGAAGCAGAACGGTGCTTTTCAACCCTTAAACGAATTAAAACATTTTTAAGAAATACCATGTGCCAAAAAAGACTTTCTGCATTGGCAATGCTTTCTAAAGAAAGGGATCTTATTGAAAGCATACCCGATTTCAATCAGAGGGTTATTGATAAGTTTGCTACTACTAAAGATCGTCGTATGGATTTTCTCTTTAAATAAATCCAATATTAGATCATTTAATTTACATGTTCATTTTGTATAATATGTATTACCTAATTATTAGTTGGTTACCTATTTTTGTATGTTAAATTTTTTTCAATCCAATTAAACGGAAGAATTACCGAAGGAAACCCACATTTTAACGAGTTTTTTTTTACTTATGTAATTTTCTACTTTTCATCTAAGGTATTTGACCTTGAAATGTGCAAAAATTTTCGCCTGCGGCGCTACTTTTTTATTCTAAGGTTGTGCACCCCCCAAAGTATTAAACCACGAGCCGCCACTGGTAGGTACTAATTAAAAGTTTAGAGATTGACAGTTCTTCTAATCCACACAGCCACGGCCAACTTACTTTTACCAAAATCGACATCCACTGTATGTTTACTTTTAATTAAATCGATGACATTTAGAGAAAATTATAATTAAAATAAACTGTTGATAATTTGTTGGACACTAAATAGATATAAGCAAAAATAATTTATTTATTTGTCTTAGAAGGAGATAGCAAAAAAATGTTAATATAAAATAAAACGTTATATTTTGTTGTTATGTACAAATTTTGTCAAATTTTACTTTTTTTCACTAGTTGTACTTTACACACTTGTGAAAAAAAGTACAACTTTACACACTTCGTGGAGTGCGTAAAGTACGTACTTTACGCACGGTAGTAGAAAAAATTCTATATATACTTCGGTTGTAAAGGCCATTATAAATCTCGCACATTATATCCTTCGGTACTACCCGCCTCAGGATTTATAAAAGTGCTCGTTAAATAATAGCTCACTTCTCAACCTAACAGCCGGTTGCAAGAACGATCGTTAATAGAGAGTTATTGCAAGTTCACTTAAGGTCAGTCACTACTAGTGCCGCTCTTATTTTGACATCTGAGCATGCGCAGATCACTTACATTCTAGAACTGACTTTAATAAAGATTGTGCCTGTCCTTAGTTGCGGACAGCAGTTTGTGGCGACTTTATAGCTTTCGGGTACGCTCGTCAACATTCGTTAGTTTTAAATTTTCTAGTATTATATATTTAATAGCTTTGTTCGGCTTACCAACGTTTCAGAACAATTCAGAACACACGAAACAGTCAATCCTAGAGTGTCCTAGGACTAGATTTGGAGAAACCTGAACACGGAAATTTAAATGCGCATGATTATAACGATTTTAAACCGTCCTCAAAAGTAAGCCGAACAAAGCTATTATTAACATCTTCCAAATCACCTAAAATTGCCATTTATACCTCTTATATATTATATACTATTAAAGACAACAACAAAAATGAACTATAATTTAAAGCAGTGGCGGCTCGTGGGGTGGTTCACAGTGACAGAATATAGGTATCAGTACAGATGTATGAAAAAACTTTCAGTATTTTAGAAAGCTTATAATGTACTTTTCTAAAACACTCACAGTTTTTTACCTATATCTATACTGGGATCTTTATTCTGCTACTGTGAACCCCCAAAATTTTGGTTACGAGCCGCCCCTGATTTAAAGTTTTTAAAATGAGGTTAGAAATAAGGACAATGATTCTAATGTCAAAACTTGCAATAAGTCTGATTTTAGCATGGAATTTATTTGACTCTAATTAACACTAATGAACCACTAAAAATGCATTCCAATCCTCGATAGCTATTGAACGTCGTAAATCTGACAACACGGTGCGTTATTCGTAATATGAACAATGATATATATCGTTATAAAGATTGCTCGCCCATATTTAAATAGGATTACGAAATGCGCCCTTTCAAGTATTCACTGAATAAAATCGTTCTTTCCCAAACGTGTTTTAAAATAAAATTTCAGCATTTGAATATTTAGAAACAAAAAAAAGAATGACCTATTTTACTTCAAGACACGATAGTATGTAAGGTGTATTAAACACATATTTTTTCGTATTGTAATGTTGAGTATCCACATCGTCAAATAATATTAAGGATCTAAACAATTTTATAACAGGGAAACAGTGACAATGCCTACACAAAACACATAAAATCATAAACTGAGACATATTGTGAATATCTGAGCGATAAAACATAAAAAAACACTTATTAATATAATAAAAATGTATTATCAATCATACAGAACAAAGTTTTCTTAACTACTAAATAAAAGTAATTTTCTAAAATGCTGCCATTTTATAAATATGCCTACATGATATTTTTTATCAAAATTGACATTTTAATTTCGTAGCAACATCCTACATTAGTTTCAATTAACAATATAAACTATCTGTAAGGAAATGAAGGTGGTGGATACTTCCACAGCACTTAGGCCCATTGTACATCCTCGAGGGGTACATAAAACCTGCCTCTGAGAGATGCCTAGAGACAGCTACATCTTCATAGCTCATCAAAGTCCTGCAGGTTATCAACCCGCCAAAAACCCTTCTGGTTAACGCTAAGGGGTGTCTACAAACAGCCATCTTCTCAACTAATCAAAGTCCTGCAGGTTGTTAACTCACAAAAACCTGCTGGTTGACGCTGAGGGGTGTCTACAGACTACAGACATCCATCTTCTCAGATCATCAAAGTCCTGTAGGTTATTAACATCGCCGAGAGGTGTCTATAGTCGTTCCGTTTTTTTTAAGTGGCCATTTGGTGGGCTTCTACTAGTCCAATGGTAAATGCCCGGGTTAATTATAACTATAAAATGTACATTTAAATCTGCAAAAATTTTAATGACAAGAAAACACTATACACAGCTGGGCAATACAAGTATACTCAAAATTGTACTTAAGTACTCAAAGTAACTCAAAATTGTAATTAATTACTTAAAATTTTCATTAATAGGTACTCCTGAGTACCTTTATCTTGATGGGACTGAGTACTTGGAAAATTTTAAGTGCCTTATATTTTAGAGTACTTAGTACTTCTGATTCCTACAGCCGACGAGTAACGAGTACGATTATCGACGCGCTCAGGCTCAGGCAAGGTGTCCACAATATTTATTCAACTGTTTTTTTAATGTGACATTAACAAGCCTTTAGTTAATGGTCCAATAAATATTTTATATATTTTCATAACTAACGAATCCCTATAACTACTCATTACTTAAAGGTCCAATAAATAAATATGTATTCAATAATTTTTAGACCATAACTAATTATTCTTCTTGCATATCCTAATATATTTTAAATTTACCTAGGTTTTTGTTAAACTGTCCAACTTAGAAAAGAAAGAAATGCTGGGAAAAAAATATATACACATCAGAATTTTGAAAATGGTTTAGTTACATATTGTAACAAAAGCATAAAAAAGTATATACAGGGAGCTCTCTTGAGGTAAATCTGGAACCGCAGTTTACTTTTTAGAATAGTAACAAACAAGCCTTAAACAATATCCATATCCCAGGTAATCTAGTAGAACAAGAAATATAATACTAAAAGTAACCGATCTTTAGTAACATTTATGTCATCTTAAGATCCTTATGTACCTATTAGTTCTATTAAATATTTTAGTGGCAGTATTTTAGGGTTACTTCTGAAGTTATTAATGTTACTTTTAGCCAACTGGTATTAATTTAGTTTCTTGGGATACAAAAACTCAGCTGGTTTACGGAGGGTGATTTTTTTTCTCGCCTCTTTCCCAGGTACCACATTCTCAGTTATTACCTACCTCATCGCTTTCTTCCTATTTAGAAGACACTCAGGTACTTGTTCCATCCCTTTCTTGATAAAATTAAATATAACCAGCCTAAATACACCTCTAACGACCAATAATATACCTATCATACTCGACTTATAAAAGAAAACTTTTACCGTCCTTTGTCTCATCTTGAAGACATCACACTTATGGATACCTTTGTCCTCTTTTTAATAAAAAAGTTTTATACATAATAGCTACATTCAGTCCTGAAGACACCCCTTGGACCGAAACCGAAACATTTTAAACATTAAAAAACATTTTGTGGTATTGACTTTTATAGTACTTACCTATATTTATTTTTGTTTATAAAATTGACCAAAGTCAAACCCTTCTAATTTAATATCTAAATAGTTAACGAAAATAAATTTAGAACACCATTAACTTTTTAGTTTTTATTATTTGCTTTTTAATGTACGTTTTTGTTATTAATTTAGATTATACAACAGGGTAAGTAATATTATTTTATATTCTGTCATGTTCCTTTTCGTTTCCCAAAATTTGTTATTTTCATTTGCATTATTATTATTTTGTAAAGTCCTATCACTGCATATTAGGTTTTGCTACAAGTAAATATTATTTGTAAATAAAGAAATATTATTTCTTATAATTAAAGTACTTACTATTTGTGAATAATCCTTTGTTTTCCATCGTAAAATCCACATTCACATTGTTAAATCTTCTTACAATTCGTTTTATTTACGTACTTTCAAATAGGTATAAGTAGGTATATTTTGTAAACAATTTTTATGTTAAAAGTTCGACTAGTATCGACGCTCTCGACTCTTGCCGATTTTGACTTTCTTTGCAGGCGTTGTAACGCAAAGCGACATTCCCTATGAAAAATTTTGAGCTCATTTCAAAAACATAGCTTCCGTGTTCACCTGCCGAGTGTTCTCTTAAATGGGCCGACAAAGACAGAGAAAACTCTTTATAGGGACATATCTTGAATATCCACACAATTTACTCCATAGTGTCATTTGGAAAAGCGCCATTGCCAAATTTACCATTTTGAAGATAATTCAGGGAGTGAATAAAGTTATGGGTTCATTAGCTAACGAGAGATTTTAACAATTGTTCTTGCAACCGGATGTTAGTGTATAATGTACTATTTAAATTTGGTGTTAAATTTATTTATTGGATTATTAATTATTTCAAAATTATTATTGTCTAGACAAATAATCAAATTTATGTAATACAGTTAGACAATTGCCTTTTTATGTTTTAGTTAATTGTTATGAAAATGCTTTTTATTATATTGTCAATAAAAGACCCTCTAAGTGAGATATTATAGTGTAAGAAGCTTTTTTTAAAATAAATTCACTAAACCACTTCTAAGAGTTTATTTAAAT